GGAGATAGGAGTCTCACGGTCTCTCCTGCCCGGGCTGGCTTTGAACCGCAATCCTCAGATCTCAGCCTCCTGAGTAGCTAGGATTACAGGCATGAGCCACCGGCGCCCGGCTAAAGTTCTCTTTTATTCTGATTACAAAGAATATTTGGCTAGAATATGGGAGTTTATATAGCAAGTGTGTCCCTAGCTTTTGCAAGATCCTCATTTCTTACTGTATAAGTTTTGAACCTTTGGACTTTTATTTCTTCAGACTACCATCTGCCATGATATTAATTACTTAATTCATTAATTCATTTGTTGGTTTTGGGGCTTGAACTCAGGTGCCTGGGCTGTCCCTGAGCTCTTTTTGCTCAAGGCTAGTACTCTACCACTTTGAGCCACAGCTTCACTTCCACTTTTCTGGTAGTTAATTGGAAATAAGAGTTCACGGACTTTCCTGCCCAGGCTGGCTTTGAACCACAATTCTCATATCTCAGCCTAGAATTGTAAGGGTAAGCCACTAGCTCCCAGCTACCTTGATATGTTTACTGCTTTTACCTACTTATTTTTATGTTCTCTTTATTCTTTCCATTTCCTATCCTCTTGCTTTCCCATTTTAATCCTCTATCCTTCGATTTACTTACTATCACCGTTTCCCTTTGCTTTGTCTTTTTCTAGCCTCCCTCGCTGGCAGGATTGCCATGAATTGTGGAGCAAGAAACGGCGACGACAGCGACAAAGTGGTGTTGTGGTAGAAGAGCCACCTCCACCCAAAGCCTCTCGCAAAGAAACTACCTCAGGGATACCTGCTGAGCCTGTGAAGAACAGTAGCCCAGCACCACCCCAGCCAGCTCCTAGCAAAGTAGAGCCTGGGGCTGGGGATGCAATAGGTCAGTGCTGAAATGGGACCTTTGTGCTTTTTTAAATCACATTTTGGCAGATTTTGATGGTCAGGTGCAAGGAGTAGATGTGCCTATTTTATTTTTTGTTCAGTGGAATATTAGGAAGAAGGTTGATTATTTTCATGGGGAGAAGATTAAACTGTTTTGTACATGTGTATGGCTCAGAAAGCCTACAGTATACCATTTTCCTTCCTTGAAATAAGGAATATTGTATCTCAGCTCTGTGTGGAATAAATGAATTAGAAAACAAAATATAATTTAAGGTCAGTTCACCCATGGGTTTATAGCACCTATAATTTAGAACCCCATTTGTATTATATGAAATAAAATCTTAGAATCCAATCATGTTAAATCACAATTGTTAAATGTCAGTAGTTCTGTAGATTGTTACTTGATCTAAATATACCAAAAACTTACTCAAGCCAGGCGCCAGTGGTTCATTCCTGTGATCCTAGCTACTTAGGAGGCTGAGATCTGAGGACTGCTGTTCGAAACCAGCCTGGGCAGAAAAGTGCTGAGAGACTTTTTTTTTTGGCCGGTTGTGGACCTGAACTCTGGGCCTAGGCGCTGTCCCTCAGCTCTTCAGCTCAAGGCAAGTGCTCGACCACTTGAGCCCACAGCGCCACTTCCGGCTTTTTCTGTTTATGTGGTGCTGAGGAATCAAACCCAGGGCCTCATGCATGCAAGGCAAGCACTCTACCACTGAGCCACCTTCCCAGCCCCTGAGAGACTCTTATCTCCAATTAGCCACCAGAAAACTGGAAGTGCCACTATGACTCAAGTGGTAGAGCACTCTCCTTGAGCTGATGAGCTCAGAACAGTACCCAGGCCCAGAGTTGAAACCCCACGACCGACAAATACATAAACAAACTTATTCAGCCGGGCAGGAAAGTCCATGAGATTCTTATCTCCAATTAACTAGAAAGCTGGAATTGTTACTATGGCTCTAAGTGGTAGATTGCTAGCCTTGAGAGAAAACCTCAGGGACAGCACCCAGGCTCTGAGTTCAAGCTCCATGTAACAAAAGAAATTAAAAAAAAAAAAAAAAAAGCCAGAACTGGAGGTATAGCTCAAGTTGGTAGAGTACCAGCTGTGAATGAAAAAGCTAACTAATAGCCTGAGGCACTAAATTCAAGCCCCAGTACCAGCACAAAAAAAAATTAAAAAAATAAATAAATACCCTTAAATAATTGCCAGAACATGGGATATGAAGCATCTGAATTCTCAAAAATCTCCTCTGGTATTTTTTATCTTTTTGGCAGTACTGGGGTTTGAACTCAGGGTATTATACTTGCTGGCAAGCATTTTGCCCCTGTACCACATCTACATCTCTAAGCCTTCTGGTGACTGTGTGTGCTTGTAGTAGGGCTTTAACTTAGAGCCTAGGTGGTGTTCCTTGGCTTTTTTGCTCAAGGCTAGTGCTGTACCACTTGGGCCACAGCTCCACTTAGAGCCTAGGTGTTGTTCCTTATATTTTTTTTGCTCAAGGCTTAGTCCTGTACCACTTGAGCCACAGGTCCACTTCCAGCATTTTGGTGGTTAAGTGGACTTAAGAATCTTATGTACATTCCTGCCCCTGCTGACTTTGAACTTTGATCCTCAGATCTCATCAACAACACCTGGCTCTTGGTAGTTCTTCTTTTTTTTTTTTTGGTTGGTCTTGGAACTTGAAGTTGGCCTGGGTGCTGTCCTGGAGGTTTTTTTTTTTTTTTTTTTGTCAGTCGTGGGCCTTGAACTCTGGGCCTGAGCACTGTCCCTCAACTCTTCAGCTCAAGGCAAGCACTCTACCACTTGAGCTAAGGTGCCACTTCCGGTTTTCAGATGGTTTATTGGAGATAAGAGTTAAACGGACTTTCCTGACTGGGCTGGCTTTGAACCGCAATCCTCAGATCTCATCCTCCTGAGTAGCTAGGATTACAGGCATGAGTCACCCTCGGCTAGTTGGTATAGTAAGCATTGAACATCACCAGCATTGAGATTGATAGAGTACCAGCCAATGACAAAGTGTCAGGTACTGAGTTCAAGTCTTGGCCTTGGAAGAAAAAAATCGCCAGCACTGAAGAACATGAATAAAAGGTACAGTGAAGAGATATTTAGATACAAATATTTAGGAACAGTAAAGAGATGTTTTTAGTTAATCTTTATCTTTTAAAGCAAAACTAAGTAACTGACATGACAACTGAAACATGAGAGTTCATTGGGTACCTGTACTCACAAGTGTAATCCTATCTACTCAGGAGGCTGATATCTGAGGATGGTGGTTGTAAACCAGCCTGAATAGAAAAGTCTCTGAGACTGTTATTTTCAGTTAACCATCAAAAATCTTGTAGTGGAGTTGTGGCTCAAATTATAGAGCATTAGCCTTGAACAAAAGAGCTAAAGAACAGCACTTTGTCTGAATTCAAGTCCTAGTACAAGCACAAAAACAAAATAAAACAGAAAACCTGAAAGTTTATTCTTGAGCTATTATAAGTTGCTATTGTCAGTCAAAGCAATGGTTTCTTTTCCTGCCTATCTTACATTGCTACACTGTCTCCCCACAGGCCTTGGTGACATCACACAGCAGCTAAATCAAAGTGAATTGGCAGTGTTATTAAATCTGCTACAGAGCCAAACAGACCTGAGTATCCCTCAGATGGCACAGCTGCTTAACATCCATTCCAACCCAGAGATGCAACAGCAGCTGGAAGCCCTGAACCAATCCATCAGTGCCCTGACGGAAGCCAGTTCTCAGCAGCAGAACTCAGAGTCCATAGCCCCAGAGGAGTCTTTGAAGGAAGCACCCCCTGCACCAGTTGTCCTGCCTTCAGCAGAACAGACGACCCCTGAAGCTTCAAGCACACCAGCTGACATGCAGAATATGTTGGCAGTTCTCTTGGGTCAGCTGGTGAAAACCCAGGAGCCAGCAGGCAACCTTGAGGAAAACAACAGTGACAAGAATAGTGGGCCACAGGGGCCTCGAAGAACTCCCACAATGCCACAGGAGGAGGCAGCAGGTAAACAGACCGGTCAGATCTCATTGAGCAGGTGCTTTTGATCCTCTCTAACATCTTTTTCACACCAATGGCCTCAGTTTCAGATTTTCTGTAACCCAGTCTACAGGAGAACATAGCACCAAGTGATGTATTCCTTGCCAATGTCTTTAAGTCTCAAAACATCTTTAATATATCGATTACTTTTTTCAATTCCTAGGATGTAGGTAAGTAAGCCTTGTATATTGTCAAGGAAACTAGAACCATGGTTAATGGTGCTTTTTGGAAGCACTGTGTATGTCGGCCAGCTAGTCTTAGAAAATCTGCTTTCTTTAAAAAAAAATCATTATCAGGTTGTGCTTCTTTATTTCTAGTGGAGTGGATGCAGGATACCTTAATAAAACATCATTTGACTTTCTGAGCATAATTTGGGAATTGATCTAAATAGATAGCTAACACTGTCCAGTTTCTTTCCAAAAAATAACATAAAAATTATTTCTTTAAATCTGTGTTACTGAAAGAGACCATGGAATGGACCCCAGATCAGAAAACATTATAAAAAGGAAAAGGAAAAGAAGGACTGGTGTATATCTTTATCTCACATGACTAGAGCACGCAGTTTATTAGAGGGAAAACATTTAAGTTCTATAATCTTGATTCATAATCTGTTTGCAAAATCTTACATATCTGAAACTGTTTTCAATTTCCTGGAAGTTTTTACTGTCAAGGAAGATTCCTATGAATTGGGGAAGAATCACAAGAGTTGAAGAAGTATACTGACCTTCACCTTTAGGGTCCTGCATTCATACGAGATGGTATAGAAAGTATATGCTTTATTTCAATGATATAAAGCCAAGGGCATAAACTATTTTTTAAATGTAAAGTTTTTTTTAAAATTGGGAGATAATTAGTAAAATTAGCCCCTCATTTAGAAAACTGCAGTCCAAAAGTTTAAATACATCCTATCTGTAGTCCCTCTGTGATTATTCACAGAAGCAAAAACTAAATCTCAAGTGATTATAGTTTTTATTCACTTTGCCACTCTGTCATGAATTTTTAGGAGATTCAAGAACATAGAGTAAAAAAAGACTATCTAGAATTAAAGCAAGCCTCTTTTCTCATTTCTCAGATTGCGTTTTTTTCCTCTAGTCCCTCTCCTAGAAATCTAGCTTTAACAAAAAATCTGAAGAAAGGAGCTGGGCACTGGTGGCTCATGCCTGTAATCGTAGCTACTCAGGAGGCTGAGATCTCAGGATCGTGGTTCAAAGCCAGCCCTGGTAGGAAAGTCGTGAGACTCTTATGTCCAGTTAACTACCAGAAAACCAGAAGTTGCACTGTGGCTCAAGTGGTAAGAGTGCTTGCCTTGAACTGAAGAACTGAGGGACAGTGCCCAGGCCCAGAGTTCAAGCCCCACAGTGGACTTAAAAAAAAAAAAATCTGAAGAAGGGGGGAAAAAGCTAGGAGCTGGTGACTTACACTTGTAATCCTAGCTACTCAGGAGGCCAAGATCTGAGGATCAATGTTTGAAGATTGGTCTAGAAAATCCATGTGATTCTTACCTCCAGTTAATTGCCAAAAAACAGGAAGTGGAGCTATAGTTAAAGTAGTAGAATGCTAGCTTTTTTTTTTTTTTTAATTTTATTTTATTTTATTTGTGAACATACTGTACAGAGGGGTTACAATTGCATGGGCAGGATAATGCATACATTTCTTACCAAGCATTGCAGCCTCCTCCTTTGTTTACCCTTCCCATCCCTTCCCAGCCTCCCCCCTCCCCCTAGAATGCTAGCTTTGAACAAGAATAGCACCCAGACCCTAAGTTCAAACCCCTAGGACAGGCACCGAAATAAATAAAGTCTGAAAGAAGTTGGTCAAACTAAATAACAGTGAAAGAAATTTACCCAATAATTGATCCAGGGAGCTATTGGTCACATGATGAAATTGAAGTAAAACTAATTGCTGGCCTATGGCCAGACGTCACTGGATATATTTTAAGAAGAGTACAAAAAAATTCAACTAATTATTTAGTCAACTGGATTAGTTGCTGTTCCACAGGGTTTCTTGTGTTTTGTAGCACGGGCTAGCCTCAAAACCCCAATCCTCTTGTTCTTATCTCCCAGGTATGAGCTTACAGGCAATTTTTGTTTTCTTCCCTGATATCTTTTAGTTAGCTATTTCACTATTCATTAGCACTTCCAGCAGAGGGCACTTTATATGAACTAGAAAAGGGGACAACCTGTCAGTCTAGCTGTTGTTTAGCAGTTCTGTACTTGTTAGGAAATGGTGATGATTGAAATCTAATGAATCAAAAGAAGCTTTTAAAGTTATTTTTGCATTTATTAAATACCTCTTTTCATTAGTACAGAACTAGTAAGAATTGGCAACATTAACATTTAAAATCTGACAGCAATATGAATTGTTCAGATGTGAATAGCTCATATTTGAAGAAATATTATAGTTCTTTACAATTCATCTACTTTTTTACTTGGAGTAAAATTTTCGTTTTATAAACATGAAAGAATTGAGCCCAAAAATTAGTTATGTTGAAACAGGGCTGAAGGCGTAGATCATTATAAAGCAAGTTTTTTTTTATTATTATTTTTTAGAATAAGTACCCTAGTGAGTACTATGTCCTGAATTTAGTCCTCAGTACCACCAAAATAGAACAAAATAAAATGTAGCTATATAAAAGGCAAAATTTATACATGTGGAATGTGAGTTTAAATTTGCCCATTTTTATAATTAGTTATTTTAAAGTCTATGCCTGTGAAACATGATGTTCCATTTTATGTTATAGACATTCCCCAAAATACTTCCCCCCCCCCACTTTCTCTTTTGTTTCTTGTTTTTTGTTTCTGTCAGTTGGTTGGTTGTGGGGCTTGAACTCTGGGCCTGGGCATTGTCTCTCAGCTCTTCAACTCAAAGCTAGCACTCTACCACTTGAGCCACAGTGCCACTTCTGGTTTTCTGGTGGTTAATTGGAGATAAGACTTTCCTGCCCAGGCTGGCTCTGAACCGAGGTCCTCAGATCTCAGTAGCTAGAATTAAAGGTGTGAGCCACCAGCCCCTGTCTAAAAAGTACTTTTTGATGTCTTTAAATTGACTTTTTTTTTTTTGGGTGGGTCATGGGGCTTGAATTCTGGGGGGCACTGTCCCTCAGCTCTTCAGCTCAAGGCTAGCGCTCTACTACTTGAGCCACAGCGCCACTTCCAGCCTTTTCTGCTTATGTGGTGCTGAGTAATTGAACCCAGGGCCTCATGCATGTGAGGCAAACATTCTACCACTGAGCCACCTTCCCAGCTCTGACTTTCTTTTTTTAATGGTACAAAGATTTAAAGTCAGCTTCACACTTGCTAGACCCAGGTACTCTACCACTTAAACCATGCCTCAAGTCCTAATTTTTTTAAATAGTGAGATTAATAGCTAAAGACTAAAATGCTTATGGTCTAATTACCCTACCTTTTCCATAGTATCTTCAAGTTATGAATTTTCCATGGCTTTTTTTTTTTCAGGGCACAGGTTTGAACTCAGCGTTAGCATTCTGTCATTTGAGCCATACCCCAACCTTTCTCTTTCCCTCTCTCCTTTTGTCTCTTATATATTCATCTCCTCTCTCTCTCTTCTTTTCTTCTTCTTTTTTTTTTTTTTTAAATACCACTACTTTTTCACTTAGGGCCTGAGCATTGCCCCTTAGCTTTTTCTCTCAATGTTAGCACTCTACCACTTGAACCAAACAAAGCTCTACCTCTGGCTTTTTGGTAGTTAATTGGGGTCTCATAGACTTTTCTGCCCAGGCTGCTTTGAACCATGATTCTTTGATTTCTGCTTCCTGAGTAGCTGGGATTACTGGTATGAGCTACCAGCACCCAGCTACCTTTTTTCTCTTTAGTTATTTTTCAGGTAGGGTCTCAAATTTTTGCCTGGACCAACCTCAGACCACAATCCTCTTACCTACGGCCTCCCACATAGCTGGGATCACAGGCACATACTACCATGCTTGGCTTGTAGTTGTGATGGAGTCTTGATAATTTTTTCTGAGGCTAGTCTCAAAGTCTCAAACTTTCATTCTCCTGATCTCTACCTTCCAAGTATCCTAAATTACAGGTGTTAGCAAGTGTTCCAGTTTCTATAGCAAATTTTTATTTTCCCCTGCCAACCAGCCTGTCAACAAGTAAATTAGTAGCAACTACATACAAGGTGACCAACTCATCCGTGGACTGGCCTGTTTTAAAACTGAAAGTTGGCAGCCTGGAAATGCCTTCAGTTCCAGTAACATTGAGGTTATTGATTGCCCTACTTATATATTACATATAGCACCTTACTTATTATTATTATAATACTTCACAATCTTAAATTTTTGTGGTGTTTTTAGAATGGTTTCATTTGTATACTTAGGAAATGCAAACTTATTTACTGATTGTCTTTGCAAAATATAAGGTAAATTTTCTGCAAAAATACCTAATTATAACTAAAAACTTTATGGCTTGTCTAAGTCACTAGCTTAGATAATGAAGAATGGCTACGTGGATTTGTTGGGGGGAGTAGAATTTGGTTATTTGGGAGATAGGATTAAAACATTAAACCTTTTCTTTAGCAGGTTGACTCCCAGTTCTCTAAAGGCACTGTTTTTTTGTTTTGTTTTTTTATTTTGTTTTGTTTTGGTTAGTCGTGGGGCTTGAACTCTGGGTCTGGGCACTGTCACTGAGCTCTTAAGCTCAAGGCTAGTACTCTACACCACTTGAGCCACAGCACCACTTCCAGTTTTCTGAGTAGTTTATTAGAGATAAGAGTCTCATGGACTTTCCTGCCCAGGCTGGCTTTGAACCACCATCATCAGATCTCAGCCTCCTGAGGATTTACAGGCATGAGCCACTGGCACCCAGCAAAGGCACTGTTCTTAACTGTAGTTCTGCTCAATGGTTTTGTATATCCTCAAACTCATGCCATTTTACATCTCTGCTCTCCTACGTTGGCAGGCGTTCATTATCACATAAGTGTTTGTGACAAATAGGCAAATTTAAATAGTGAAAAAAAGAAAATCTGGGAAGTGATTTAAGAAGACAGGGGTCTTTATAAAGACTGAGGTCAATGATTTAATATATTTCTCAATACTAATTTCTTATCATCTCTAGAATAACATGTTTATCAACAACTCAGCTCTATATAACATCGCTTAGAGTGATTTTTTTTCATAACATGAAAAAATGCAAAGGTAGGAAAACAAAATAGAAAATTACTATGGGTTACTTTAGTCTTTATAATTATTATAACATGAAGTTTAATGTCAGCACTGCAGTTACTATTTTCTTATGAATGTAATTCTAGGGAGAGATGACTAAAGCCTGGAGAAGCAAATGTGTTTTTATACATGGCAGGAATGGGAAGTTTTTGCTTTTATTTCATCTTTCCTATGTATTGTTTTACTTTGTATTTCAGGTAACCTTATATCATCAAACATTCTGTAAATGTGTTAATCCGCCAAGTCCCATTCAAGGTCTCTGTTACGCAGGAAGATAATGTCTTAGAAATATGACTGCAGAATGCATATTGTTCCCTCTCATCTTCTTTCTGCTTTATTTTCAATAATGTTTTGATCTAACAGCAAAAAGGGAAGTTGCAACAACCTACATATTAGCACAGCTCTTTAAGCAAGAAAATGGAAGAAATCTCAGAAAAAAAAACCAGAACAGTCATTTGAAACATGATTGTTTTACACCAGCTGTTAGATATAGAATGCAACTGTTTTACTTTTAATCTTGATTTTCTTTATAAATTATAATTTTCTGATTCCAAGGTTTTATTCTTTATCTTGTTACTTGTATTGATATTTATGTTGGTGTGTGTGTGTGTGTGTGTATGTGTGAGTGCGCACGTGTGTGCACACGCGCGCATGTGAGCATGTGTTTATAATCACATGTGATTTTTAAGATGGTGTTTAAAAGAAGTAACCCTTCCACAGCATGTCCTCCTCACATTCTTCCACCAGAGAAGAGGCCCCCTGAACCCCCTGGACCTCCACCGCCGCCACCTCCACCCCCTCTGGTTGAAGGCGATATTTCCAGCGCCCCCCAGGAGTTGAACCCCGCCGTGACAGCCGCCTTGCTGCAACTTTTATCCCAGCCTGAAGCAGAGCCTCCTGGCCACCTGCCACATGAGCACCAGGCCTTGAGACCAATGGAGTACTCCACTCGACCCCGTCCAAACAGGACTTACGGAAACACTGATGGGCCCGAAACAGGGTTCAGTGCCACTGACACTGATGAACGCAGCTCTGGTTCAGCCTTGACAGAATCTTCTTTGGTCCAGACACTGGTGAAGAACAGGACCTTCTCAGGCTCTGTGAGCCACCTTGGGGAATCCAGCAATTACCAGGGCACAGGGTCAGTGCAGTTCCCAGGGGACCAGGACCTCCGTTTTGCCAGGGTCCCCTTAGCATTACACTCAGTGGCTGGGCAACCATTCCTGAAGGCTGAGGGAAACAGCAACTCTGTAGTACATGCAGAGACTAAATTACAAAACTATGGGGAGCTGGGGCCAGGAACCACTGGGGCCAGCAGCTCAGGAGCAAGCCTTCACTGGGGGGCCCCAACTCAGTCTTCTGCTTATGGAAAACTCTACCGGGGTTCTACAAGAGTCCCATCACGAGGAGGGGGAAGAGGGAGAGGAGTTCCTTACTAACCCAGAGACTTCATTGTCTTGAGAGATTCCATCTCTATCCATCTTTCCATCCAGGCCTCTGAACCTTTAATGAAATCACTTGCCAGAGTGAGGTAATCTGCATTTGGCTACTGCAAAGCTGTCCATTGTATTCCTTGCTCACTTGCTGCTAGCAAGTGACTTAGAATGTTGGCACCAGTTCTCCTGGGATGGGCTATAGCTAGAACATTTACTTCATATCTACATGCAGTAGAGAATATGGAGAGGGTCATTAAATTGAAAAGTAAATGTTGCATTAATTAGCTTCTTCAGCAGAAGAGAGAATAGATTCCCTTTTGAGATGGCTCAGGAGAAGCTTTCTTTGTTTTTTAAAGTTTTTTTTTTTTGTTTTTGTGGTTGGTTTCTTATGAATTTTAATTTAGATTTTCCCCTCGTCAAAAGAGAATAGTGTTCACAGAATTTGACCTGTTCTTAGGCTTTTGCTAGAAGTGAAACGAGTGGCCTGGCTGATTTAAATAAAGGTTTCCTTCCTCTCCACCATGTCACATTTTTTGCTTTTAAGTGAACACTCCCCCTTTACCCCTGTTGAGCATCTTGAACATACTTTTTTTCCAAATAAATCACTCATGCTTAAAATTTGCTCCACTTTGACAAAAGATATGCCTCTCTCCCTGCACGTTAAGCAGGTTATAGAAAGTGGCATTCTTGGGCAAGTAGGTAGACTTTACCCAGTTTCATCCCTTTTTTTGTTTGTTTGCTTTTCTTTCCTTTACCTTTCTCCCCTCTCCTCCATTCCTTCTTTTTTCCCCTCCTTCCTATTTTCTCCCTCTCTCTCTTTGAGGCATTTGTTTGGAAAAAAAAATCACTGAGCTGCCCAAGAACCTGGAATAATAATTAACCTTTTTTTTTTTTTAATAAAGGAAAGGAAATTCAAACTCCTACATTGTTCTCTGTAACTCTTCAATTCTAAAATGTTTTGTTTTTTTAAAACCATGTTCAGATGGGGAAACTGATTTGTAAAGTATGGACAGCTTAGAATATTGCTACTGAGCTGTAGTTAGAAATGATGCCTCCATTCCTAGAGGGCTTATAAGAGCAGTTATCATATTGTTTACACATACTATTTTTATGTCCCCCTCCCCAAAAGAAAACCACCGTTCAAATAGCATTGTGCTATTGTCAAAGAAAATTAAAAAAAAAAAACTCATGAAAATATATGGAAATGTAACCTAGTTTGGGGTGGATATTTTTTGAAATATATCAATACCTGATACCTTTTTTAAAAATAACTTTAAAATAGCATACTGTGAGAAAGAACAGTATTGACATATACATATCTCCAGCATGTATATCCTACCAATTTTAGGGACTTTGCTCCAGAAAGATTTGGTTTTGATTTAAAAAAAAAAAAGAAAAGAAAAAAAAAAGGGTTAAGTGTAAATTGCCTGGCAAGAACTTGCCTTATAACAAGAAAGGAAAAAGGCTCTCAGGTTGGGATAACTTGAGAGGCTTCTCATTCTAACTTCTATTTCTATGAGTACCAGCTTATGGAGTATTTTAAGAACAGATACATGTCATTATTGATCTTCACAGTCTTAGTCCTTTATGAAATGTAGTTTAGGCAACCCCCCCCCTTTTCTTTTTACAAAGAAAGGCAAAAATCCTCTAGTATCTTGGAATACTTTTAAAAACTCAAGTGAAGTTTTATGTTTCAATGCCAGGTTCTTAAACAATAAAATTACTTATAAGAAGAAAGGTGCATTAATTTAAAAAAAAAACTTTAAGGAAATGAAAGAAGAACCCTCTTCAGATACTCTGATGAAAACTATTTTCCCTTTACTGATACATATATGTGTGTGTGTGCGCGCGTGTGTATATATATGTGTGTGTGTATATATACATATATACATATATATGTATATATAGGTGTATTTCTTTATTCTCTGGGTTTTGGTCTGGCCTTGCTCTCAGGCCAGTAATCAAACCTTCTAACCATTTTGGCTTTGATGGGTTTTGTAAACCAGTGTGTCCAGCTAGATTTCCTAGGCACACTGACATAATATTGGTAAACCACACTTACTGAAGTTCATCTGAACCTTCTGTCTGATAACTTTTTAGTCTTCAGACATGGGACTTTGTATGTTAGAATATTTGAATTTGAGGTATTGGACTCCATTCCTCTGTTTTTGGTTAAAGCTGAGCCTGGAATACGTTCAGTAGTATCTGCCCAGAGAAAAAATAATTGTTTTCCCACCAAATATGAATAAAATTCTCTATATTTTCATTGTATTTTGGTTATAAACAATCATCAGTAGTGTTTTTCCTTCCCCTATGTCATCCCTTATTTTTAATTATGCCAAATATTCTAAATAATATACGTAAGCTTCCATTTCTCCATCCCTACTAGCGAAGGGGGTGGGTGTATGTGTGAATGTGTGTATGTGTATGTATGATCCCATCTCACCCTCACCCTCATTTGGGGCATCTTTAAAATGAAATGAAAATTTTTTTAAATTTTGACTCTAAAAATGGGAGAATTGTTTTAATATTCTGGAATATGTGTGGAGGAAAAACGTATTTGCGGATTTTTCAGCTACGTTGTCTATAAACATGATGGAAGTAAAAGTTTGGCTGAATTTCAACTTGACTGCTTGGAAATTACAAACCAAATTCCATTCAAAAGTGGTTTTGTTTTTGTTTAAAACTATTGTACCATGGGAAATACTAAGTCTATTAAATTCATTATTTTGAACAGATGAGAAATCTGATCCTGTTCATGATGAAAGGCAAAACTGGTTTGACCATGATCATTTTTGTGGTTTTGAAAACAAATTTGTCTAACCATTTCCTCAGTTTTTTCTTCAACTACTTGTAGGAATAAGAATTTGAATATAACATCAGATGTTTAAAGCAGAGCAGTTAACACAAATTTGTAATTAGGATTTTTGTTAGCTTCTGCCACAGACATCATCCAACCACTTGTATGTGTGTGTATAATATGCATATATAGTTACAGTGCTAAAATGGCTATCAGCAGGTTTTGAGAGAAAGCAATGCTGCATCAAAAAGTGTCAGTTGCCACCTCATTCTCCCTAGGTTCCTGACACTGTTTTCCTTTCTCTTGTTTTTTCCCCTCCCCCATCAGGTGTATCTTGTCTATGTACAGATATTTTGTAATATATTAAATTTTTTCAGTTTATAAAAATGGAAAGTGGAGATTGGAAAATTAAATATTTCCTGTTACTATAACACTTTTGCTCCATTGCATTTACTTCTAATGTCTATACCCTCTGAGCATATCTAATGAAGGATATTTTTCCTCCACTTTATCCTTAGGGGTTCTCTGTCTCAGAATTGCTATAGATTCATAAACTGCCAAAACAAAAGATTCTTAGGGACTGGAGAGGTGCATGAAAACACTAGAGACTAGAAAAAAAATGTAAGTGGGTTAGGGGAATCCATAAAATGTTAATTTTTTTTAGTAGAAAAATCACACAAATAATGGTGGTATGAAGCCATCAAGAGTTGAGCTACATGTACCCTGACTCCTCCTGACAGGAGAGGTAAGTGGGTTTTAAGCTCAACAGTCATCAAGGAAAGTTGGTAAGAAGCTGCTTAGACTTAAAGGATACTTTCAAACCAGGCTCCTCAGTATCCCGGTTCCCTGGTTCCATTATGTTATAAAAGAGTGACAGCATGGGGATTGATGTACGTAATTGCTAAGATTTCCTGGGAAACTGTCAATTCAGGATGTAGATCAAAGTTAAAGGCTTATTTAAGAGTTTTATATTTCTAAAATCTTTCCCAAAGGGAGAATTACTTTTCCTTTCACGTTTAAGGACACTGAGGATAAATTTTCCCTTATACTATACCTCAGTCTTGCTATTATGACCATTAGGCAAATAGCAGCTGAAAATCCATCAGGAGATGTCTGGAAGTTGTAAGCTCTAAAAGGTACATCCAAACACAGGAAATGAGAAATTCAAAAGCTGTTGATGAGGGTAGCCAGCCTGGTTTTGAATCCTCAAGATTTTTGTGAACCCTTGCCTTTTGGTTTAATCATGTCCTTTACCCAGGAGAGAAGAGATTGTTCCAGATCATGGAACTATGTGTTTCAGGTTAGTCCTTAGAGATAAGGAATTAGTTTTAGGCCTTCTATATTGTAAGCTAATGACTATGAGTTTGAACTTCAGCGTACTAGAGAATAGTGTTTCCATTTTTTAGCAGTGTCTGTCAACAATTCAGGCCTAAAGACTTGACTTAACTAGCCTGGACTTTTTCCCTCATACCCAAGATCATAACTGAGTAGAAAGCATACTACAAATTTCTTAGGCATTATTCTCCTAGACAGACATTCTTAACTATATGGGAAGGCTAATGCCTCAAGGAAGCTAATAGTATTCTTGCCAAACAGATTTCCATTATTAAAGATTGCTGACTTTTTAAACTGTTCAGTGGCTTCTCCTTTCCCATCTTAGTCATTCTGAAGGACTAAGTGGAATGGGAATGAGGAGTTCCTCAATGCAGAAATAACTACCATTCCTAGGGAGAGGTAGGCTACCAAGTCTTCTGGTTGGCCTGAGAGGCAAAATGAAAATTATTGGACACTTCAGTTGGTTTTATTTTCCACATGTGTTATTTTTTCATCTATAGGAACACCCCTAGTGTTTCAACAGCCTTGGAATTACTCTAAATAAATTGAGAGTGTAGGCAGGAACTTTAACGCCTCTAGGAATCATTGTTAGAATTCTACCAGTCTTCACTCTGAGTAGCTGTCTCTCCATCACTTATCCACCCATCCACTTTTTATTTACTTCCCCCTTCCCTTTCTCACCATCCAACTAGAGTGATTAGGCCTACCATGGGTATTGATTGCTTCCTACTAGATACTTAAGGTTCCATAATTTTGAGGGGTCTTTAGAGGTGATTGAGAAGACAAATGTCTATTTGGATGCTCACGTTATGGGTGGGAGGTGGAAAGCAAAGTAATAATACTTACTGCCAAGAGCCATGAAAGGAGCTATTAATTCATGCTATATGCCCATGAAAGGAATTACCTTTTTTTTTTTCCCCCCGGTCGTGGGGCCTGTGAACTCTGGGCCTGGGCGCTGTCCCTCAGCTCTTCAGCTCAAGGCTAGCACTCTACCACTTGAGCCACAGCGCCACTTCCAGCTTTTTTCTTTTTGCTTATGTGGTGCTGAGGAATCGAACCCAGGGCCTCAGGCATGCAAGGCAAGCGCTCTACCTCTGAGCCACCTTCCCAGCCCAGGAATTACCTTTTAGTGTATCTGCTTCTCCTCTTTAAACCTTCATCTCTTGTCCTTTTCTCCCTTAACCTGAGATTGTTGCATTTACTGGCCACATTTCTGAGTTTAGTCATAGGTGGTGTCTGTGTGGAAAGTAAAGGTTGGGGAAAAAAAAAACAACAGCAAAAAAATGGCTCTGGTACCCAAGAGGAAAGCAGATAAGGGTTGCTTTGATATCCTGGTGATTAATGTCCTGGGATCCCAAAATTTTTTGATCAGTAGATTGCTCTCATTTTATCTCTTGTCTCAATAATTAGCCCAAGTCTAAATCTGAGAGAAAGACCTGATGTTAAGTACTATAGTCTTTAATGTCCTTTAGATGAGTAATTGTTGATGAAGCTTTATTATTGTGCTGTCCTCATCTTCAGCATACTTCTTTGAACTAAAGATAATAGCCATGAAGTTTACTGAGAAATTCTCTAGGGCCTGGAAATAGATGGATTTCTGATGTCTTGTTTTGACATGGTTGTCAACTAAAAAGGGTTCATAGTTCTAAAGGGAAAAAGGATATTGTAACCAAGCTGAACCATCCCCTAGGGAGTCACCATAAAGAAACCTTTAGGAAGGCTATAATGTAGCAGTCAGAGCTAAAAGAAAAACAAACCTAGGCCTTTACCTGGTGACTTTACTGGAAGAACAGATTAACTAATGGGCTGTAAGAGCTTTTTCCTGCTTGAACTTCAGTAATGCCTAATGAGCAACATGGTGAGATCTGCTTGTGGACAACTATACCAGGTTAATGCAATTTTCAGTACTTATAGACTTGAGGGGGAAAAAGCAGGCTAAGTTAATTCAAAGACTTAGAAAAAACTTAGGAACCTGATCTT